GAAAAACATTATTAAAATTTATAACATTTTAACGAGGAGAAAAGTATCGTTACCTTCTCATTTGCTGCGTAATATAAAAACACTTTAGAATAAAATGAACGATGAATTTTGCAAGTAGGGGCATCAAATTATAAAACGAGCTCAGATTCACTGTTGTTGCGATTTTGTTTGCGAAATTGTAACAACGTTAAATATCTAACGCGGGTCACTGTATTCGTACCTAGATAGCAACAAACCTCAAGATAATAAATTTCTGCTGATTTCTTTCTTTCGAGAAATTACTGTCCTATTGTATCGAATGTTTATTACATTCATGCTTCCCCAGACGATTCGTTATTTCTCGCGATACATATTTTCTTGATTATTTCCTCAAGTTCAGAGTCCAGTAGTAATTACATTACGTGAAACAAGTATTTTCGCGTTAAAGCCCGAAAGGTATTTCATTTTTTACTCAAAGTGTTTCCACAATTTTTTTCAATCTTTTTTTTTTAAAGGTCCATAGATCAACGATAGTAACGATAACAACACATTATTTTCATATCAAAGCGTGAAATATCGTCAGCGATTTATACATATGCATATATGTGTGACGTTATAACACGATTATACTTTTTACTCGAAGTTTAATAATCCAAGTTTGCTCTCTCGTGTACTTTTTTCCAGTAACAAATCTCAGTGATATTTAATATTTCAACTTCGTGTCTTTCAAAAATCAAGTCGTGCTCGTGAATTCTGGTTCCGATTTAATACTAAACATACCGGCGCTTTACGTACGCCCGTTAGTCAAGATTACCTTAATTAATAATATAACGAAATAAATTTAAGTTAAATTCAAGTACACTTGATAAATCTTCAAATTTCGATTTCTTCGAGAACGAAGCGTCGTACGGAAAAATTTTATTCTTTCTTTTTCCACTTATTGTTACTTGCAGACTCCGCACGCTGTACCACGATTTCGAAAACAATCGATTATATTACATTTATTCTTACTGTGGCCGGCAAATAATCGATTATGAAATAAAGGCGAAAGGTAATTTTTGTCGATTTAATATAGAGGACAATGCAAAAAAAAAAAGGCTGTTAGATAATAATAATAAAAAAAATTATACATTCTCATCTTTTTTGAGAATTAAATGAAAAGAAAGGGAAATCGCGAAAGTTGCGTTTACCATTGAAAAAACGAAAGTCCTATGGAGTTTGAGTTAGAAAATTTCAATTTCAATTCTTGAAATTGACAATGACTGATGCAAAGAAGATTGCAA